GGGGGCTTGGCTAGCCACAGGCCAGCCTCACACACAGGCCCCCCCAGGAGAAAGGATTCCGAGTGTCTTCCGGAGGCCAGGCCCGCAGGATCCTGGAACCAGAACCGGAACCGAGCCGGCCTGGGGCAGGCTCAGGGCCAGCTTAGCCAGAAATCGCTAGAGAGACACACAGTGTATGTACCTCCTCTGAACAGCGGCCAGACACAGGCAGGGACTAAGAGGGTTAGAAACTGTGAGCGGCCCCAGCTCGCCCTGAGGCCAGCGGGCAGTGATGGGCCGCTCTTAGTCACAGAGGAAAGCGGTGTATTTTACAGTTAAGTGGCCCTAAGTGAGTTTAATTTGTAATTGGGAGTTCTGGCTAGGATCTGCTGCTGCTGCTCAAACAAAACAGTGGACGTATGGGCCCTTTTTTTCTTTTTAAAAATATATATGTTTTTATTGATGTCAGAGCGGAAGGGAGAAGGAGAGAGAGATAGAAACATCCATGGTGAGAGAGAATCACGGATCGGCTGCCTCCTGCACACCCCACACTGGGGATCGAGCCCACATCCCGCGCCTGTGCCCCGACCGGGCATCGAACCATGACCTCCTGGTTCCTAGGTCGATGCTCAACCACCGAGCCACGCCGGCCGGGCTGAGCTATTTTATTTCTAACGGGGCCACAGAGCAAAGGGACTTTCTGGCATTTGCATTGTCCGTTGTGAGATTTCTCATAGGCCTACCTCCGCTCGGGAATGGAGGGCCTGTGGGAAACGCAATCACGGGACAGGACGATGCCTCGTTTTTAAAGCAAAATCAGACCAAATCCTCTTCTATACAAAGCATCTCTGCTGAATGCTTCACGGAGTCACCAGACACAGTTTATCTACTCCAGGCACCAGCCAGAGCGGGCTGGGCCACCTGCCCAGACACCCGCGGGCCAGTCCTCTAAACCAGCGGGTCGGTCGCCAACCGGTGGCCCGCGGACCATTGGTGATCCATGAGGTCCGAAAGGTTGGCAACCGCTGCACCCCTGCAGGTCGGGGGGCGGTGAGCGGGTTAGGGTCTACCACTGAGGGTCCCTGGGAAGTTTCAGAGGTGTTTCCCAGCCGAGGTCACCGTACCCCAAGAGACACCCAGCTATTCATGGGTCCCCTGTAACTGGCGGGCCTGGGCCACTCTGAGGCATGGAAAGGGCATGTTGGTTGGGTGGCCACACCCCCTTCCTTCGACTTGAGTTGGTCACAGAGGGCAAAGGTCACATGGGCCAGAAGAAGCCGCCTTTTGTGACGTTTGTGCAAATCCCATTCTTGGGCCTCTCCTAAGTAGAATGATCGTGATTGCGTTTCCCTCCTTGGCTGTTGTCTGCGTTAAGTGGAACAAAAACAAAATGATTTGTGTGCTCGGCGCCCCGCTCAGGAGCACGGCGGGGTCCTTCCTCGCGCTTCCTGTCTCAGTGCCTGGCTTTCTGGCCCTCGCGTCTAATGAGTTCCTCTCAATCACACATGCATTATTAATTTATAAGCAAATAAATTCTCAGTCGGGGCACCTGCCCGGGTTGCGGGCTCCATCCCCAGTAGGGGGCGTGCAGGAGGCAGCCTATCGAATCTCGCTCATCATGGATGTTTCTCTCTCCCTCTCCCTTCCTCTCTGAAATCAATACAAATATATTTTTTTAAAAAGAAAGAAGGGCTTTAAGTACCCCACCAAAGAAGGGGGGCAGGCTGGTTAATATTTCATTATGAATTAGTGTTGGGGTGTTGGTCTCTCAAATGGTTCTTTTTGAGCGTCCGGTTTGGTGAATTTTTGTGAAAGTTGGGTGAACGCTGGTATGTTTCAGCTCAGACAATGCCCTTGTTTCCTGGTAAGGACGTTTCCTCCGCGGTGGGGAGCAGAGAGAACAGGCTGAGCGTGGCCTGAGGGATATGAGGACATTTGCATTTTGCAGAATCCGTTTTGGGGGGGCAGGTGAGGCTACGCAGATCTTCCTTAGAGAGGAGGGAGGGAGCCCCGCCCCCGGCTCACAGGAGTCCCACGTGGGCAGTGGGAGTCACAGCCACGTAGGAATTACATGAAAGAAAAGAGCCCGTTTACAAGCCCAACCCGAACCCCGTTAAGTCCCTCGTCATAAACAGCAGGGTTTTATGGGGCCGCTGTGAAGAGAACATGAGACTCTGCTCAGACTCAACAGCATCAACGTGTCAGCCTCCCCACGTGCGTGTCTGAATCTAATGGGTCCCAACGAGAACACCAAGAGCTCCGCGTTAGGCCGTGGACGAGGCCACCCCGTAACACAGCTGCTCGGGACGCGCTGTTCCCAAGCACCAGCTGCTCGCCGGGGAGCCTCGGGGTGAGGGCATGTGGGGCTGAGGCGTGCCATGGACATGTATGTAACTGGCATGGGAAACACGCCAGGACATCGGTGTGGGGCTGATGCGTGTTATGGACATGTCTATAACTGGCATGGGAAACACACAGGACATCGGTGTGGGAGGTGATGGACCATATGCAATGACAAGGAAACACATCCAAGAAATATTGTTCAGTGAAAAAGCACAATAGCCCTAGCTGGTTTGGCTCAGTGGATAGAGCGTCAGCCTGTGGACTGAAGGGTCCTGGGTTCGATTCCAGTCAAGGGCACATGCCCAAGGTGCGGGCTCGATCCCCAGTAGGAGGCAGCCGATCATTGATTCTCATCATTGATGTTTCTGTGTCTCTCTCTCTCCCCCTCTCCCTTCCTCTCTGAAATCAATAAAATATATATATATATGGCAAGAAACTATAAGCCAGATGCATGCTGGGCACAGCTTCTGGCCAGAGCCGTCTCCTCAGGTGTGCGGACTCTCTGATCGAGGCGGAGGGGGACTGTTTTTATTCTCGGTGGGGGTTTTTCTGTTAGTCGGGCTGCTGTGTTCAGTGACGTCTTTGTTTGGATGCCGATCTCCTTGCCTGGTGCAGTCACAGCTGCAGGACAAAGCCAGGTTCACCCAGGCCCCTCTCGTTGAAAGCTCATTTTGACAGCGATTGCACGGCCGTGTTTGGAGGGCTTGTGGAGGAAGACGTTGGGATAGGAAATGGTAGTCTAGGTAAGTAGGGCAGGTGCCAGCATTTGACCTTGAGACTGTGGAGGCCCCGTCTCCGGGAAGGTCATGGGGATGGTGTCATTGAATGTTCTCAGGACTGTGGGCATGCCCTCAGGGCTGGTCACTATGATGGCAGTTCCCGGGGCGTGGTGTGCCCAGGAACTGCCCGGGGGCTGGTTCCGGTGTGGGTTCCAGGCTGGTGTCTAGAGACTTTCTGGTACCTTCTGCCCGGAGGACCCCAGCTCTGAGTTTATAAGAAGGGCCCGGAGCCCCCACACGTTCTGGGGGAGGTTGCTGTGGCGATTGAAAGCGCAACTTCACCTGTTCTTTCTCCAGCTTTTCTCACTTGGAGAAAAACTCCACCGGTTTAGACCGACGGAGCGAGGCCGCCCTCTGTAACGCAGCTACCCGTTCAGTAATGACATCTGGGGTGAAGGAAGAGGGCACGGTGCCCCGTGAGCCCCGCTCAGGGTCCCCGGGAGCCCGCTGGACGGAGGTTTGGGTCTTGGATTCCGGTGTCCTTCGTGTGGGGTGTGGGGTGTGGGGTGTGGGTGGTGGAGACGAACCGGCCTAGGCTGGGGAGTAAACTGGGGCCTGGTGGGTATGGAATTCAGCGATCTGGGTGCAATGGGCAAGTCTCTCAACCCAGAGCCTCGCCTCTCTCACTTACTGAGAGGGGAGAACTGAACCCCAAGTCACGTGAGGATGATTAGGTGACAGACTCGGGGACGAGGCCCCAAACGTCAGCCCCTCGCTCCTCCCTCTCCGGCGCCTCCATCACCATCGACCGGGAGCAGGGACAGGATCTGACCAGCCACTTCCGTGCCTGTCCCTGTCCCGTGGCCCCCAACATACAGGGCGTGGTGCCCCTTGCAGGGACGCCGTTAACAATCCAAAGGGCAATGTGGGCAACGTTCCGTTCTTTTACACGAGGCCAAACCAAGGAAAATGGAAAGGCTTATGGAAAAATTTCTTTTTTTCTCTTAAAGGCAAAAGTCATTTTGTGAAGTCCCCTGTTGGCTAATGCAGTGCCGACCAGGGCTTGGGACTGGGGGCCATCCAGGCTGCCCCGTGGGCTTCCTTCTGATCATCTCCTGGCTTTTCCCTTCCCTGGCCCTCAGGAGGGCCCGTGGCATTGGAGGTTGGCAGACCCGGGACCCGAGGGGGCCAGAGGCCTCCCACACCCCCATCCCATCCGCCCGCTTCCTGCGGGTCAGCCGGGGACACGGTGTAGCTTCAGGGACGGGTTCCAGAAGCAGGTTCTGGCGGTGGCCCCGGCGGGAGGAGAGACCCCGGGCAGTTGCCAAGGCTCGGGCTCGGCCCCCACCTTCTCCTTCTCGCTCCCCCGGGTGGGGGCTGGGCCTCGGCCTGCATGAGGGAAGCAGGGTTGTTTGTGTCCTGACATTAATTGGTTCAGTAGAGCTGATGAGTTACCGGGCGAACGGCTGTTTGCCTACTGGGTTTGGTCTTGGGTCAACAGTGGGCCGTTGACATTTCCAGGTTGCCACAGTTTTGGGTTACAGTTCGTATTTGGAGCAGGTGTGCCCGTGGTCACGGGGCTTTGTGTTCGGTGACTTTGCTGATGGGATCAAACCCACACCCACGGGATGTTGCTGGTGCAAGAGGAGTTGCTCACCTCCCTCCTTCTCCCCCCCTCCTGCTCCTGCAAAAAAAAAATGAAAGAAAGAAAGAAAGAGGAGTTTTGCTGGGCCGGCGGGGCTCAGGGATTGAGCGTCGACCTAGGAACCAGGAGGTCACGGTTCGATTCCCGGTCAGGGCACATGCCCGGGGTTGTGGGCTCCATCCCCAGTGGGGGGCGTGCAGGAGGCAGCCGATCCATGATTCTCTCTCATCATTGATGTTTCTCTCTCTCTCCCTCTCCCTTCCTCTCTGCAATCAATAAAAATATATTTCAATCAATCGATCAATCGTGGCCAGCACGTGCCTCAGTTGGTAGGAACCAGGGGCTGGGGCCTTCCGTCTGCCCAGGAATGAGGCGCGTTAGGCTGTCATATCAGTTAAGTGGAGGTCAGTCAAGAGGGCACCTCTTGTGCTCCCTCCCTTGTGCCCAAGAAGAGGTCTCTGGCAGGTGGACTGATGGTCTTCCTCTCTCTCGGGTTCCCTTGCAATGAAGGTCTGTGTGGGCAAGCCAGCTGACGCGGGTGAGGGCACAGCTTTGGGTCTCCCGTCAGCACCAGGCTCACTAGCCTGGGGTCAGTTACCTTGGTCTCCTTAGAACTAAAATCTGCTCAGCGGAGCTGTAATCCCTCTGCTGGGCCCAGGCATCTCACCTCCAGGATGGATCCCCACGCCCCTCCAAAGGGCCACCAGAGCTCTGCTGGGCCCAGGAATCTCACCTCCAGGATGGATCCCCACGCCCCTCCCCACTTCCCATCAGCCACTTGGGCTGCCAGCACCCAGCCATGTCTGCCTGCCCTTTCCCCCTATAAAAAGATCCCACCCTTCCTATAAGTGTTTAAAAAAAAAAAAAAAAAAAGACAGGGTGGCCCTGGCCCATGTGGCTCAGTGGTTGAGCGTCGATCTATGAACCAGGAGGTCACGGTTCGATTCCCGGTCAGGGCACATGCCCGGGTTGCAGGCTCGATCCCCAATGCGGGGGTGTAATCCCTCTGCTGGGCCCAGGCATCTCACCTCCAGGATGGATCCCCACGCCCCTCCCCACTTCCCATCAGCCACTTGGGCTGCCCGCACCCAGCCATGTCTGCCTGCCCTTTCCCCCCATGTCGACATCCATCAAACTTTGCAGGAATCAAAGGCAGGTTCTTGGAGGGGGGTGTAAGCTTCCGGCTGGCTTTGGATGGCTCCTGTCCCAACATGAATCATTTTTTTTTGTAACAGTGAGTCAGAGGGAACTTGGAAATCCTACTTCCACTGTGTTCCCGTAAGAAGGGTTAACCTCTTAGTTAAAAGAGGTTGGCATTATGGGCACGATCCTTGCACCACCTTCTGTTGAAGCATCAGGGCCAACCTGACATGCACAGAGGGAATAACACGACATCAGATCATTGTGCGATGTTCTCTTCACTGCACATCCATAAATTATATATATAAAGGCCTAAGAGACCGTTAGGACCAAACAACCAGAACAACCCGTCGACCGGTCGCTATGATGCACACTGACCACCAGGGGGCAGACACTTAAGGCAGGAGCTGCCCTCTGGTGTTCAGTGCATTCCCACC